TCATGTAAGGACTTCGTATCACTCTGGGGGCTTTCCTATGTTGGCAGTGTTTTCATGCATGGCTCTTGGGGCAGACTCCAAGAAGTCCACACAACTGCCGGTCGATCACGTGTTTACAGGGGTTTGCAAGGTAAAGGCCGGTACATTTTGGGCTTCCTACTGGTAACAAGGATAGTTTACGGCTTGAATTTCAGGCTGGATCCTTCAAGCCTTGTCAAAAGCTTAAACCCAGACCGAAGAAGGGCTTCCTAACCCTGAATCTGGCAAAATCAGGAGCCCAAAAACAGATGATGGCCCTTGCAAGCAGAATGAGGAGGCGATGCGCTGAGTAGGGCTTCATTGAGCTCCCTGTCAGGTTCTGGAAGGGCCCCCCAACCCCAAACTCCACGTCAACAAGCTTCGAACCCAGCCGAGAACTAGGGGTTTGGGACTGCCCCCTGGGTCAGGCCTCACAGTTTAGACTGTTGGGTTTGACTTTTCGGGTGCAGGCCGTTGGGGTTGGGATTCAGGCGGCAATGTTCAGGCTGCAGGTGTGGTTTAGGCACCTTCCGAGAGCTCTATCTCACTATACCATACTATACCTAGATCCCCAATACCCAACCTTTAAACTTTTCAGGTTCTTATAGTTTATGTAGTACTTGTAGGAGTCGGAAAGTTACTTATAGAACCCAAGCCCAATGACTCTTATGGGCTGAGAACTCCAGACCAAGCCGCCTGGGCCCTACGCACAAACCCAACACCCAATTTCCAATAGCTGTAAAAGAAATATCTGCAAAAAATGGCAAGCGTAATTTTTCCAAGCGACCGCCAATGTGCCACACGTCGCAGGCGCTGGAGAAGGTGCTGAGCATGTTTCGGATTTCGGATGATGGCATTCCGGCATGTGAAAGCCGCATCGATGCGATCATCGAGCCGGAAAGAAAGCTGGACATGGGGTCTCCGTCTTCATAGCAAACTTTCTACTGCACCGGGTTCGCGTGGTCGTGCGGTTTTGTCCAGTTGGAACACCGGGTCTCTGTCTCTGCATATACATTTCTATGTATTCTATCATGAACGAATCGCTCTCTTTCTTATATATATATGTATATACTATACATCTCTCTCTCTCTCTCTTTCCATGTGTGTGCGTGTGCGCGCATCTCTGTGCATCTGTTTGCTTATCTATCTACCTAGCTATCTGCGTATCTATCTATCGGAGAAGCCGTCAATCTGTGAGTCTAGCTGTCGATATGTCCGTCTATCCCCCGCTCTCTCTCCCCTTCTGGCTCTGCCTCCATCTCCCGCTCTCTCTGACTTCAAGTCATGCGGCTTGCGCGACGCACACATACACTGACTCCACACAGACCAGCGCCTCTGCAGCGATAGGTCGCGAAGTCCAGGTAAGGTTGGAATGGTTGCGATCCGTCGGCTCGTGGCATGTTGCAAGACCCAAAGTCTTGCAAGAAGCGGCATAGCTCCTAAACTCGGTGTATCTCCTGGACTTCCTCCCATCCTAAATCCACGACTTGAAGCCTTGAACCCTAAACCCTCCATAACCCTTCAAGGCTTCGGGGTCTGGGGTTTGTTTGGGCCTGAGGATTTCTTGGTTTGCCGTTTGGGAAAGTCGGTGAAGCGATGCCGCTTTGAACGGCATCGACATCGAGAAGGTCCCCCGGAGAAGTCTTGCGGGCCCCACCGTCCCAGTCAGTGATAATCAAGCCTTGGATGGGCTTCGGTTACTGTGTGCTGCCGCAGCTTTTTGTCTTGAGCTCATGCGGCAGGCGTATTTGCACAATGCACAAGGTTGCTCTTCATCGCAAAAGCAACTGTCTGATGTAAGGGCAGATGCAAACCAAGATGTTCTTAAGTGTTGAGGTTTCAAGATTCCTGTTTTCTTACTCTTCACCACCCGGCCGCCGCTTGGCAAGATTCGAAAAACCGCAGTCCCAGCAAGAATTCCCAAGTCCCAGCGCCCACTGGGAATAGTGCACTGGCTGTAGAACCCGTTGGCCTCCGCCGTTGGCAAAGCTAGCGGCATGGTCCGGCACTCGGAAGACCGACAGCATCGGAAGACTGCGATGAGTAGACCCAGACCCAGTTGTCATGAACTCACCGTCAGATAGGGCCCCACAGGACCATGTAAACATAAGTCTCCGATTTGCGGGGTAGGACTCTGCCAGGGCCCTTACTGGCAATCCCTGTTCAGAGTGCGAAATAGTTCGGATATGTTACAGTGTCGTTGGTAGGTCTAGCGATGCAGAAGCCCAGCCGAGTCGTGAGCAGCACATCTCAGACCCCAAGCACTCGGAGCTCGAGCATGGTGTGGTATCGCATCCTGATGCCTGTAGCGCCACAAAGGCAGCAAAGCTTGAAGCTTTGCAGCAAGCACTCTACCCGCCGAAGCCCCAATCTGAGCCGCCCTGGGCTCCTCTTCGCTTCGTCTCTCAGGGGAGCAACAAAGCAAAGCGAAAGTTTGCTGCCACTCAGAGATCCGGCGGTTCCAATCGCCAGGGCCTTGGTTAACACCAGACTCAGAGCTTCGGCGCCAATTGGGGGGTCTGGGGGGGCCCCCGGGCCCTTTTGTGTAAGTCTCATGCGCACATGTTTTCCCTTGGAGTGGGGTATTTCGGTTGCAGATGCCGGGAGCCAGCTGATGCCCCTTCCGCTTTCGAATCGCAGGTAAGCCCACTGCCAACGCTGCTTCGGCAGCCGCTGAGGCTCCCGACTGAAATGTAAGACAGGGGAGATCAGAATCAAGCCCCTGGTATCCCTTCCAAAGTTCCTCATATAGTTTTAGGATACTGTACCCCCCCAGCGCGCTGTTGAACATTGCGAAGTAGGCCCCTGCACGACAATAGGTCAACCCGCTGTGCAGTAATGGTCATTTAATAAGCGGGGACAAGGCCGTGAACACGGCTAATTACACTAGTCCCTTGCGGTTACAATTACCGTAAGGGTCTCTGGAGTGGGTTTCATGTTTGGATGTTTTTGAACTGTGTCTGTTTGATAAGAACCTGATGGTTTAAGGCTCCATATCGGGATTCCGAAAGAAGAGGAACTGCTTTCTGCATGCTACACGTACGGGCTTCGTACAGGCAGCAGCAGGCAGTTTTGCTGCACATATTTATGCACCGGCTCCTATTCCCGAAAATGGAGCATCTTGCACATCTTAAACAGCGTCGCGGTGTGCCCTCGTTCTGGCTGATGATGCGCCTGCCAGTTTCCAATGCATTTACACACACTGTCAAGTTCAAACTGGGGGCTGTTCTAAATTATGGTCCCTATTTTTGGGTACCCTATATAATAAGGACTATACTACTATAGGGCCCAAAAAGGGACCATAATAGAACAGCCCCCAACTGAAGCCCTCATGCAAGCCGCTCGGCTCCACCACTCTGCGAAGTTGCCGAATCTGAAACCTCAAATCCCGAACCCAAACCCCACAACCCGAAGCCCTAAAGCCAACACCCTAAGCCTAGACCCCTGAAGCTGTAGCTTAAACCCTGACACCCCAAACCCTTGGAACTCTGAAAGGGGCCCTTACAGTAACCCCTAAAGTGGGAGTTAGGATTAGGGGGACCCTTAGGAATATAGACCCTCTCAATTAAGGCCCCTTGTAAGAGAGCCAGAAGTAGGGTTCACAGGGGGTACCCTTTAAGGGGTCTCCCTAATAATACTACCTAAAAAGGGGAGCCCTTCAAGTCCAAGATTACAAGGAGGGACCCTTAATAAGGACCCCTAGGTATATACCCTTAATATAGCTATCATATACCCATTATATAGCCCATAATAGGGTAGGGGTCCCCATTAAGGGTCCCTCCTTTTCCCCTTTGGCTTCCGCTCTACACGCACCGGGCTCTGCAGGTGCCCGTGGACAAAGGTTCGCCCGGGAAGTGCACTTCGCAGGTCGGCTGCCAGGGACCAACTGAGGTTTGGGGGTTTAGGGGTTTAGAGTTTGGTGGTTTAGGGGTTTAGGGGCTCGGAGTTTGTGTGGTCTAGGGATTAGGGGTTTAGAGTTTAGTGGTTTAGGGATTTATAGGGTTAAGGGAGATTTGTTGTTTGGAGTGTCGGGTCTAGTACAGGGGCCTTGATAATGCGACGAGGGTTTTGGGGGGTTTCCGTACCATAAGCATGAAGGGGGAAGGCTACTTTAGGGAATTAGTGTCAGGGATGGGGCCGTTTTTGTTCATCGAAGGTTTGGGGTTTAGGGTGGGTCCTAGGGTTTAGGATTTGCTATTCTAAAGTGCTGCCTTCCTTTTCTACCCAAAGTTTCCTGTGAGACTTCACGGTTTTGTGCATGAAGGGCTTCAGCATTCGAGCACATGCTTGGAGCTTACACGGTTGAGGGTTGCCGCTGGGTGTAATCATCTTGCAGCTGCTCAGCAGAGATCCGGAAGCCACTACTTTCCGTGGCCGGGCCAAGGAGCTGCAAACACCGGACAGCAGTAAGGACAACAGTGCAGTATGCAGGCACAGGTCATCATCATCGACATCGCCAGGTGTATCTTCATCTGCTCTCCAGCATCATCATCGTGATAGTCATCGTCAGGTTTATCTTTATCTGCTTGTCATCATCATCATCACCACCATCACCATTATCATCATCGCATATCATCATCATGCCATCACCATTATCGTCATCATAACCCTCATCGTGATTATCACTGCAGCCGTGTTAGCATGTTTATCTTCGTGTTCTCGAGCAAGGCCACCGTGCAATCAGTTGCTTCCTGCCTTTGATTGGTTGAGAACTGGCACACCACAGAACTTAAGACTGTTGTTATTTGGGCCCAGCGAATTCAATGATTCTTGTAATCGGCCGGAGGGCAAACTGTCGCAGCCTCTGGCGATCTGAGGTTTATCAGCCTCTTGCAGTCCCAACTATTGACTATTGCTCTAAATCAGGCCTTGTCCTGGCTAACTCCTCACAGGCAATGCCGACACATTTCTGATTACAGTCTTTACAGGCTTCGTGCAACGGTGAAGCATTAGTTACTGGTCAGAAGGCATTCGCATGAGCGATGGCGCAGCGCTTGCAGCTGTGGCGGCGCCGCATATGCGCTTACAAGAAGTCTTGGCATATTGCTTCCTGCTGAAATGGCTTGTTTTTGACAGCCATTTTTGGGATGGCCTTTTTCATTCTGTGTCAATATGGGGGGATTTAATAAGAAAACCCTGAACCCTAAACCCTAAACAAAAGGGGCCTTACATGTATCCTTATTCCAACGTCCCTGCAATCCGAGGCCGCCCTTGCCTTCACTGCGGCCGTGTATGGGTTAGCACTTAAAGGAGTCGACGGTTCCAGAAAGCTCACGACCGCTTCCTGGCAGGAAATACTGGACAACTTCTATCCCGACCAAAACAGTGCCTGGGAAGTTTCAGCTGAGGATTTGTCACTTAGGCTAGCTTCAAAACGCTTGGGCATCGTGCAGGCAGCTTATTCTAGGGAACCAGAACCCAGGCAATGCCATGCGCCTTGCGGAGCGCGAAGTGGTTCCAAACTGGGATGCAACGATGCAGGCAGATGATGTCACGAAAGCCCTCAATGCATTTCAGACATTCTGTTGGTTCAAGCATGGCATGGATGACCATCTTCCCTTCTTGTGGAAATGTGACATCAGAGATGTGAACGTGGAGCTGGTGGAAGATGGACTTAGCCCTCTGGATCCTGAGATGAACTGTTCGGCGGCCTTCGTCGAGAGTCACATTGTTCATGGTGATGATCCTCGGTGCGTGCCCTGGGGAGAGAACTCCCTTCCGTCACTTTCCTTGAATGTGGACCCCATGTTCGACGAGTATGAGGTGCACTCCTCAAGTCCGATGTTTGCGCCACTTCAAGATGCACTGTCAGACATGGGGCAGCGCTTAGCAGCCATCGAAGCTCGCTTGAAGATACCTGCATCAACGACTAGCCGCCCGTCTTCTTGCGAGGCGATTGCAAAAGGCTGCTGGCACAAACAGAATCTTGGACAGCATGGTGTGTGCGGTTTTGACACCCTTTTGTCAAGCCCGGTACGAGGCAGGCCAGTATGTAATCTCAAGCGTCCAACAAAAGCAGTAGAAAGGAATGCGAGCACAACACTTCCGGACGATTTTCCATGCTCCTGCTTCGACAACTCTGGTAATCCCATCAGCACCTGCCGAAATCACCATTGGGGGTTAGTGCAGCTCTGCCAGCCCTCTCGACTTAGAGTGACATTCTTGATCTTCCAGAAGATGCCACCTCGTTTGCGCCAAGGGTCAGACAAATTCGTGGAGTGGTTTTTTGTTCAGATGGATTTTGCCAGAATAGCGGCCACGAAGAATGCTGGAAGCGGATTGTACCGGAGTCATTTGTGGCTTCATGAAGAGAGGATGGTGGATGTCATGCTGGGCGGAAGCCTTGTCTTAGATGGGCTACTGGTCCCGTGCGTGGTCTTATCCTTAGTATGGTTCATTGGTCAGGCCCTTGGGTCTTTCATCTTCTATCTGCCTCGAAATCTATGTGCTTTTTTGGCTCTCAAGAGAGAGGAGCAGGAGGCTCAGACCCAGATCACGTTGCATCTGGGTGCTGGTTTGTCGCGAGTGGTTGCCTTTTGTTTGTTAAGTGGGCAGACTTAGTGCCACTCTGTTGCGGCATTCAATCGGAACTCTCTCAGGCACGTTTTCCAAGAGCATCTCAGTCGATGCCTTGTCGGCAGAACGTCCCGTTTGCAGCACGTCAACCACTTTGAAGCAATTATGGAAATCATCGTCAGCATTTTCATGGTTGCAGGAATTGTTCGGAGCATCTTCAATGGCGGCGACCACTGCGCTATACAAGATTGCTCTCATCATTCTGTGTTGGAGCGGTTAATTGAAGTTTCGTACGTCGTTCTCCTGGATGATGATGAATGCCACGGCACAGCCTGGGTCCTCCTCTATATTACCATCGTTTTTGCTTGCCTATCCTTAGTTGATCGATTTCGTTGGCTGCCCAGCGTCATTTTGCTCTGTGCGGCGCGGCTCGCATCCTTTCTGCTGGCCTATAGCCTGCTGCTCTGCGGCGCTGGTGTCTTCATGTTCTTGGCGTTTGGCCCACGCTACATTCAGTTTTCTTCGCCCTTCCGTTCCTGCTCGGAGCTCTTCTTTCTCACCTGCGGCATGCCCATCTCCGCATTTGACAACATACGCCCCTTCCAGGATTCCCACTCATTCGAGGTTGCGTTTGCACTCGCCCTCTACTGTCCCTTCTCTTTTGTATTGAGTCATTCGTTTGAGATCTTTCGGAAGTTGTGTTTATATAAGCCATGTATGCAGCTTGATGTTTGTGCATGACCGCGAATCCGATCAGGTTTATTTATGTCCATCATTGGCCTCAACTTCTTCACTACGATTATACTTGATGCCTATGTTCAAGCCCGTGATGCGAGTGCAGCAGATGAGCAGCTTCGGCTGATGGGCGACGACTTTTGTCGCAGCTTAATGCAGGTACTGGGGCTGGGACAAGAAGACTTGTCCGATCGATCAGCCGGTCCCAGCCGGTCGGCGTCGATCAGCGAGGCAGACGAAGCTGAACTGCAAGAGGCCTTCATGGCTTCTGAGGGGTGAGCAGAACCAGAACTCTGCGGCAATATGGGACCTGTCAAACTCTCACAATGGCTTCGCAAAGCTCTCGCCGCAGTGCTTTGCTGACAAATGCTTCGCTGCCTGGATGGGCCAACGTCGTCCTCTGAGTTTTTTTTTGCAGTGAAACCAGGAGGCTCCGCGGCCATCATCAGCACTCGTCGTGCTCACGTGCACAGGCTATGCCATGTCTACAAGAAGCTTTCGAGTTGCAACATCTTGGCATCAGGCCCGCACCTGCAAGGAGTGAGCCCTAAGCCAGAATGCCAGAATGGACGTCCTGACGGCACATGAGACATCAGTCCTCGAATCGCTGGCAGCAGGTAAAAGTTGGTTGAAGAGAGCCACCAGCCACCGACCCCGACCCGAGGACGACCATTGACCCAGGATGTGCCAGGCCTGAAGGCACAGTCCCTGTATGAATATGTGCTTGAGACTTTCCCCAACACCCCCAGGCCTAAAAGCCAAAAGCACCTTCGCCCAAAGTTTCAACTTTGGGCTGCGAATAACATTCCGTATATCTCCGAGCTTTCAGCCTGGTCCGCAACTTCCAGAGATCTCCGGGTCCAGAATTCCTATAGGCTGTTCTTCCGGGAGTCGTGGCATGTTGGGGTCGAGACGGAGATTGGCAGAAAGGACCAACTCCTTATAGGGCCTTTGTTGAGGTTTAGGGTCAGAGATTTAGGGTTTAGGGCTTAGGGCTTCGAAAAGCTTCCAGCTGTTCCTCGTGCCAGGTTGAATTTCCCACACTGCAGGCCTGGACAGGATTCAGGAGAGAGTGGCATAAGGACCTTCCATCTTCAAGCAGCATCATAAGGCCCTTATAGTAGAAATCGAGGTTACAGTTTTAGTTGGATCACCTTGCGCAGCCTGTCACCATCACCAGCATCGAGCTATAGGCACAGACTGGCGGCACCACCACCACGAGCACCTTCAGCACCAGTTCCGAAGACGCCCCCCCCCTCGCCTGAAAGCTTTGCAATGCGTCGGTAGTGGGCTTACGAAGTCCAGAGTCCGGGCTATGTCCTGCAACCGAAGCGACCCTGTTCTTCTTCTCATTGTTATCATGTATCCTACACCCCTCAATCCTAAACGCCGCATCCCGTACCTTAAACCCTAAACCCTTTAAGTCCCCAGGCCTTAAACTCTCAGCCTTCAATCCTAAGCCGCTGATCCCCACGTCTGGGTTTCCAGGCCGCTGCTTCGAAAAAGCCGGCTGCAGGAAGCGTTTCACAAGGAGCCCCCGGTTCTTTTTTGGTGGGAGGAGAGTCAGAGTGGGTTTAGGGTTTCAGGTTTTTGGATGGGGATGCAGTGCTCTGGCACGCTTAGGGCTTAGTTTAGTGGTGTAGGTGTAGGGTGTGGGGGTCGAGGTTTAGCGTTCAGAGTAGGGTCGAAGATTCATGGGCTTGGAACGCTAGAAGTGCGGCAGAATGCACAATTGCACAACGCCGTGCGGCCTACTGGGCCTACTGGTAGTATCAGGGTGCACATCGGCACATGGAGGTCGAAGTAGTTCTCCTAGGAAGTTTCCCAGCAGAACGACCCTCCAAACCCAGAACTTGAATGTCCAACCACTGTAGGCTCTGAACCCTCAAGCTCTGAAGCGTAAGCCACCCAAGCCGCGAGGAAGTAAGCCTAAAGCAGCAGAGGCCCAACAGCGGGGGAGGGTGCAGATCAGATTGGCTTTAGGAGACCCCGGTGTAGGATCAGAGCTAGTGAGATTGGGATCTAGTGTAGGCTCTGCGATTTCGGGGCATTTGTGCATCAGCGGGTTTATCGTTCCGTTGTTTGAGGTGCTTACGTCTGACCTGATTGAATTTCGCAATTTACCCAGATGTAGAGTTGCTGAGTTGGATAACACAATAGGCGCGTTCAGGGCTCTGGCTATACTGCCGTACGTGGGCCGAAACTTCCGATTTCCGTAGCTTGGAGCCCCAGTGTCGTTGAGAACCGATAAGGCAGGTTTCAGCATCCTAGAAGAGGGTTCTTTCCAATCGGGGCATCAGGCTGGAAAAAAAAGGTCCAGGATTCTTCTGTTGGTTTCGGGCGACGTAGGGGGTAAGGGGGGCGGGGATGATGACGTCCAGGTACCCAGGTACGAGATTAGAGTCATTATGACGATGATGGCAATCAGAGACCGGGGGCACGCTGGCAGACGCCATGAATTTGGGCATTCGCTAAGAAGAGTTGCTGTATGGACGCAACGAGAAAGTGTTGCGAGATTTTGCAGAAGCAGTTTTGAAGGATCGATTCGGGAGATCGAACACTGGAGTTCCTAGTTTTTGACATGGGAATGCTAACAGCAAACGGACTCGGCTTGGCACATGTGGCAAAAGGCATTCCGGGACGCGCAGCCTTGGGAAACGGAGTGTTAAACGCTTCTTTGTGAACTCCCAAAAGTTGATCGCAGCCCTATACCTTAAACCCCAAATTACGAACCCGAAAATCTACACCAGAAGCACTTGAACTTCGAACCCAGACCCTTGAAAACTTCAGCCCTTTCTTGGCCTCAGCTTCCCTAAGCTGAAGCGACTCTTTGAGCTACTGCCCAAGGCAAAACCATGCCCCTCGTTATTCAGCCGAGACCTCAGGCTTTTCAGCTTCAGCGCTTAGGGAGCTTAGCGTTTGGGGGTCCCAGCTGCTTTAGGGTTTGGGGTTCAGAGTGTGGGGGTTTATAGATCTTCCCGAAGCCCTATGAAAGCCTGAGGTCTGGAGGTGGAGATGGGGGGTGCTGATGAAAGTCTTGGTGGTTTGAAGGCAATCCTGAATCCGGTTCGCGTGACCACCCCCAAAGCCCTTCTTCGAAAGAACGCAGAGTCCCGACACCAAGGATTGCGGTATTACAGTGTTCAAGCTTGGGGCTTGGGTTTTGGGATTCGAGTACTGGCTTTTGGGCCTAAGGTTTAGGTGGCGTGTCTTGGGATGTGGAGATTGGATTTTTGAACCCTTTTCGCTACTGGGGGGAGTTGTTGGAATCTTCGACCCTCTCTGATGTGCTTTCTCCTCTTGCAAGTACCCCGAGAGCCGCAAAGGCATATGCATATGCCTCAAATTGCACAGCTTTTTTGTATGATGGGTATTGCACTCTCTGGGTTTTGTAATTTGCTTTCGCGAATCGCAGCCCCAAGTACGATGAACAAGTCCGATTTCAGAGTTTCTGCCGAGGTTCAGAATGCCCTCCCGCCGTGGCTGAAGTGGTCGCTTCCCCAGCAAACCACAGGCCCTCGTCGTTTGGTGGGTGGAGGTCCTTGGGCATCTAGCCCGTTGAATCAGACATCCACATTCCGACCCTTTCTCTTTTTGTCCTCTAATCCCAATCTCTCCACCCTGACTGCGGATGCCAACTCTCGATAGACTGACATTGACACCTGTATGATTCAGTGATGGAAAATCCTTTCAACAGGTCTGCTGCTTTTGGTTCCCAGGCGTATGTGCTCAGTTTAGGCCCATGGGATTAGCAAAGCTGGCCCCAAGACAGATTTCACTGAGGTTGGAGGTATTGTGGAGAAGATTGAGAAAAAGGCCAGGGGGACCGATGTGAATCGGGCCAATCGGGCATGCTGCGGTTGGGGACTGACCTGCGATCCCGACACCTGGATCAGCTGTTTCCTAGGCTTGGAACCTTGCCGACACCAGTCCTAGGTGTACATCCCAAAAGGACCAACTTGGTCATGAGTGGTTCACAATAGATCGTGGCTATGTAGAGTAGATGCTGGTGTTCTGTTCTCGCCATGGGAGGTTCGTCCCAAAGGCAAACTTCAGCCTCCAACCCCTTCATTCGAATGCCCTCGTCGTTCCACGTATTTAGTTTAGGGGTCTTCAGACTTGGCAAGGTCACCGCGATGCGTCCTCAGCGAGAGCAGCTCAGACGTTGTGTTGAGGCAGGGGGAGCTGTGCCTCGTCGTGCTTGAGCCGACATAGACGTGTCCTGACCCTGTCCCCAGAACCCAATACCCCTGAAGCTGAAGTGAGACGTCGTACCCTGAATCTTCAACCCGCGAGCCGAAATTGAGACTGAGAACGTGAGCCCAAACCCTGAGCTGAAGGTCTTGCTGAAGTCTGATCAACGGCGTCTCAGCTGATGCCCTCAATCTAATCCTTCCCGGGCTACTTAGCCCAGCAAGTGCAAGACCCGAACGCTAAACTTTTAAACTGCCCACCCTGTCGCTTGAAGCCCAAAACCTGCACACCCCAAATCAGCAAACCCTTCGTCCTGACATTTAATCCTAGGCTTGAGGGTTTAGGGTTCCTATTTTTTTAACCAAAAGTTGTCGAAGGCAGCCCTGGCAGCAAGCTCCGACGAGTTGCTGGAAGGCTGCAGAATCGAGGCCACCAGACAGCGGGTGTGAGTTTTCAGTTAATTAGGGCATCTGGTTGAGAGTTCAGGGTCTTGAGTTTGTTCAGAGCTTTTGGCCCTAAACCCTAAACCCTAAACCCAAACCCCAAACCCTAAACCCTGGCCACAGTCTGGGGATGAGAGTCGGAGGTGTCTCCTCTGGAGCCTACGCAATCAGTTCGAGCTTGGATGACTTCGACGGTGCCAGCTGCCAGTATCAGGTATCCCTGCTAAGCACCCGCTTGCTGTGAGCCTTCAAACCAAGTACCACAGAACATCACACCTGAGCTTGTCTGGTAAGCAGGTGGTGGGTAGCACGGCTTGGGGCGGAGAAGTTCCGCAGAGCGATTTGGACCTGGCTTTCGACTCAGACATGGTCTTGTGCTTGAGAGTTGAAGTAGTGCAGGAATTGAGGCCTTGGTTTCGGTGATAGAGTCGGATAGAGTGCAGCTGGCTCAATTCCAAAGCATCTCGACAGATGGGCACCTTCACGGCATACAGCATATCATATAGGTTTTATGTCTTAAAAGACAATCCTCAGCCTGGTTAACGCTTTTCTCCATTTATTCACTGAATGACGTATACACGGATAGACTCGCGTTTCAGGTCCTAGTCACGGCAACATCGGCCGCAGCTCCGCCTCAGGCCG